GTTGCCTGCAGTAAAAGAATCGCCGCAAAGGCTGACCACAAACAGGGAGCGGCTTTGCAGCCTTGTCTGATGCCTCTGTGCGTCGAGAAACATTTCTTCACACCACGATGTTCAAACGCATAGGAGGTCTGTTTGTAGACACCCTGAAGTATCAAAATGAGATTGGGATCAACATTGAGCCTAGTGAGACCTTGGAAAAGTTTGGCACGATCAACCGTGTCAAAGGCACGTGTCAGGTCCAGACAAAATGAAAGGCCACCTTCCAGAGCAGGCATCGGAGCTCCTTGCGTCATTCTGTGAACTGGAAATCCTAATGTTGTCATCCTGTCACGAACAGCCAAGCAATGAAGAACAACTCTGTGGATGGCGTCCTCCGTTCCACGTCTGCCCATGTATGCAAAAAGCGGTAGCCTGCACAAGGCTTTGCGCATGTCATGATGCAAAGCTCTGGCAACCAACCCCATCGTTGCCTTGCTGGATGGCTCCAACAGAGCAATTGGTCGAAGTTCCGACGGGTGCTGTCCTCTTTTGCCTGGCTTAACAAGCAGGGCCAGGGTTCCCGCACCCCAACATCTGGGAAAGCTGCCATGGTTGCAAAAATCATGTAGCACTGGATCCAAATATTCAGCAATCTTGTCAGCCCCATACCGCCACATCGGAGCAGGAGCATAAGATGGGTCCAAAGCCTTGTGTGTTGGCAGTGATTTCAAAGCGCTCGAGAGATCATGCATGTCAAAAGGCCAAGCAAATGGGTCATCTGAATTTCCATGTTGATCTGCTGAGTAAATGGCTTGATACCAGGTTTGAATCCAGTCAGCCGATTCTTGAGGTCCCAGGAGATGTCCCTGTTCATCACGGAGCATGATTCTCTGTTTGGATTGTTTGGGTGCAAGTTCACGTATGGCTTGAAACATGGCAAAGTGATCCTTTGCCTTTTCAGCTCGTGCTGCCGTGGCATAGACCTGCGTCAGTCTGTGTTTGCGAGATGCCCTGGATGAGTAGGACATTTCTTTCCTGGCCTGACTTCGTAAATGAACATATCGCCATGCATGAAATAATGCAGAGATATCCTGACCAGTGAGCTTGCGCAGTGATCTCGTGTGCTCTTGAAATCTTCTGAATGGGCCAAGCGATTGACGATGAATGGCCTCTGGCTTGGAGATGTTGAATACCTGTCCAGAAAATTGCATTAAACAGGAATGAAGTGTATCCAGATCAGGAGTGGAATGATCGATCAAGTGTTGAACTTCTGTGTTGACCTGGCGTTGAAAGTGCTCAAAAACTTCATCTTGTTTGGTACAATGCTGATGTAACCTGAGTCGCTGTTGCCTTGTCCATCCTGTCGAAGATGTTCCCATCGATGGATACCAATCCTTCCTGAGAGTCGTGATCAACGGGATGTGAAATGCTCCAGTGAGAGGCAACAATGAAAAATCATGTAGTAGCTGAACATCTTTGGCAAGAGTGTCTCCATGTTCTCGTCGGCAAATGATGTAGTCGATTCTGGAGTGTTGATGGTTGAATTCATATGTTGCCTCAGAATGGGGACTCCATGTATTGAGTGCAATTAAGTCGTGGTTTTTGAGCAACTGTGTCCACAGATAAGAATCTGGATGCAAGGAACCATAGCTGCGTTCTCCATGTCGTACAAATGTAGGAAACCCAACGGCGCTGCATCTTTGGTCTGTCGAACAGTTGGCATCACCGGCCAAAACAAGCGCATTTTTCTTCGAAAAAGTAGAAATCAAATGACTCAGTTGAGACCAAAGTGCAGAACGCTTATCCAGATTACCAGTGTTGTAAACATGTTGATATAGATTAACCACGTCAACACATCTGTTCATGCCATGAATCCGAACATGGAGAATCCGTCCAGGTTCAACTTCTTGCCATGATATGTCAGTTTGACTACATACCTTCCGTGAGATGAGGCAGAGAATACCCGCCTGTCTGGTTTGTGTGCCTGAATGGATGGCGTAGTACTTCTCTTGGAGCCATTCACTGGTGTAGCCCCAATGCGTTTCCTGGAGTAAGATCACGTCCAGGGCTTGAGAGTCAAGCCAGTTTTGCATCATATCCCATTCATGTGGAGAAAGACCAGAGCAGTTCCAAGATAAACATGTGAGCCGTCTGCGCTGCTTGCATTTGGGAGGTTCAACATTAGGAGAAGCTTTGTGACCCGATAAGGGTGCCATTGAAACTCCCAGTTGATTTGCACTATATAGTCGACCTCTATACCAGGTGTATCCATGTTTACAAGCTCTTTGAATTGCCCTGCGAAAACTTCTTTTCTTGACATGTGTGTTTGTGCTAGTCTTTGATTCAAAAATCTGTCGGGGCTCCGTTCCATGAACTTTCACAGCATCCATCTGTAGCAAAGCAGGAGATGCCACTCTCGTGTCACCCATGGTTGTGACACAACCCTCGCTCCAAATCGCGCAGCGTTCAGGTTGAGATTGTATAAGGATCAACAGGCAGAGTCCAAATAGAATGCCAGTGTTGCGCGATCCCCGGAATTGGGACCGAGGTGCAGTCAAAGTTGTATCAACCACTGTTTTCACTGAGACAAATCCAATCCAAAAGAAAGTCAAAAAGACAAATTGCAGGGTGAAAAGAAGGTACCAAGTGGTCCGACCCAAGGGCACTTTATCCAGCAGGGGAAGGCCAACGTTGGACTCCAAGTTCACTTGTAATGAGCCGCAATCACAAAGGAGAAGCTGCAATACCCAAATGAAAGGAATAAGTCTCATAAAATGAAAATTGCTTGGGAGCCACCCCAAAGATCAGGCCAGTGGATGAGCGAACAAGCCCTCAAGGTCAAAGAGCACTTCAGAGAAGTAGGAAGCACCCAGCAGCAGCGATCGTCGTCAGCGACGCCACAGCAACGTACCGCGTGCTGGGCAAGAGCACGCAGCTGCCAGCTGTCGCCGTGTCGGCGAACAAGTAACCACGAACGGTCGGGGGCACTGCTACAAGGTGTACTATGACCCTTGAGAGCGGTCAGGGTGACCGCACAGGAGCTTGTGTGTGTGCGTGTGCGCGTGCGCGCGCGTGCGCGCGCGTGCGCGCGTGTGCGCGCGTGTTTGCGCGTTTGCGTGTTTGCGTGTGTTTGTGTTCCGATCCGGAGAGCCACCCAAAAGTCGGATTCGAGTCGGTTTCGGGTTTCGGGTTTCGGGTTTCGGGTTTCGTCGATTGAAACCAACTTTCGCTCTCGGTTTCGGGTTTCGGGTTTCGGGTTTCGTCGCTTGAAACCAACTTTCGGGTCGGTTTCGGGTTTCGGGTTTCGGGTTTCGTCGCTTGCAACGGTTTCGGGCTTTCGGGTTTCGGGTTTCGGGTTTCGCAGTTCGAAACCAACTTTAACAGTCGGTTTCGGGTTTCGGTTTTCGGGTTTCGATCGGCCCTGGGGAAGTTAAGTCTTCAGAGTCGGTTTCGGGTTTCGGGTTTCGGGTTTCGATCGGTCCTGGGGAAGGTAAGTCTTCAGAGTCGGTTTCGGGTTTCGGGTTTCGGGTTTCGATCGGTCCTGGGGAAGTTAAGTCTTCAGAGTCGGTTTCGGGTTTCGGGTTTCGGGTTTCGGGTTTCGATCGGTCCTGGGGAAGGTAAGTCTTCAGAGTCGGTTTCGGGTTTCGGGTTTCGGGTTTCGATCGGCCCTGGGGAATTAAGTCTTCAGAGTCGGTTTCGGGTTTCGGGTTTCGGGTTTCGATCGGTCCTGGGGAAGTTAAGTCTTCAGAGTCGGTTTCGGGTTTCGGGTTTCGGGTTTCGATCGGTCCTGGGGAAGGTAAGTCTTCAGAGTCGGTTTCGGGTTTCGGGTTTCGGGTTTCGCTGGTCGAAACCAACTCTGCAGACCTCTCTCCGGATCACGTCTCGTGTGTTGTGTGTGTGTGTGTGTTGTGTGTGTGTGTTGTGTGTGTTGTTGTGTGTGTGTGTGTCACCAAGTGTCTTTTGCGCGTGTGTGTGTGTGTGTGCGTTGTGTTGTTGTGTTGTTGTGTGTGTGTTGTGTGTGTGTTGTGTCTGTTGGTGTGTGTGTGTGTGCGTGTTGTGTGTGTGTGTTGTTGTGTGTTGTGTCTGTTGGTGTGTGTGTGTGTGCGTGTGTTGTTGTGTGTGTGTTGTGGTGACAAAGTGTATGTTGATAAAGCGTGTGTGGACAAAGTGTTTGTGGACAAAGTGTTTGTGGACAAAGTGTTTGTGGACAAAGTGTGTGGTGACAAAGTGTGTGTGGACAAAGAGTGTATGTTGATAAAGCGTGTGTGGACAAAGTGTGTGGTGACAAAGTGTGTGTGGACAAAGTGTTTTGGACAAAGTGTTTGTTGATAAAGTGTGTGTGGACAAAGTGTGGAGGAGGGCGGAGGAGGAGAAGGCGGAGGAGGAGCCCGGGATACAGAATCAAAAACAAGAACCCCACACAAAGATGTGGGGAATAAACCACCCATTTGGGAATGGTCTATACCACCTATTTATGGTGAAGGGAGAGTGGTTTTTGTTTTACCAACATTGTTCTTGAATGTCATAAAAGTGACAAACTGTCATTAGGAACGGGATGTTCCGCCGAGATGTTTGGCAATTTTCCACATGGGACGAGCATGGGGTGATAAGATTTTTGCAGAGGTGTGCCACTCCCTCGGGATAAAAATGGTTGGATTTATGGGTGATATTAACCACCAAGAACCATCAATGAATAAGAGTTTTGTCAACATTTATCCCTATTTATTAGCATGATTATTGCAGGATCCTCGAAATGGGCGTTCTGTGTGATGAACAGATCTCAGATGTGCTACTTTCACAGGGATCTGGATCCTTGCGGATCATTGCGGCTGGTGGTGTCTCTGCAATTCTATCTGGTGGGATCCACCTGGTTCAGCGTAAGAAACCATCGTAGGAACATCTGGGGCCCCAGAGCGCAGGTAAATTCTATTTTTGGACCGTAAAAACATGAAAAATGATCAAAAGATGCATCACAATGCCATCCATCCATCCATCCCGTGACCATCCTTGGTTCCGTCAAGGCGGACGATGCTGAAATCACCTTGACCCTCATGGCACAGGGCAATGGCCAACCCAAACCAATGGAACTGGGCAGTTTCACTCGTGTCTTGGCGGCCATCGGGGGGCGATGCTGCCCCTTTTTGGCAACCCGTATGTTCCCATGGCATCCCATGGTGTTAGGTTAGGGGTTATGGTTATGGCATGTTATGGCAGATATATCTGTAGTGAAGTTTATGAGCTAAAAAAGCGGCAGCATCTTGCACTCTCTGGTAATTTAGCCTAGCGGAGGTCGTGGCCCATTTAGTTTGCTGATTTTTTTAATGGTGATGTTCTGTATATTTTCCATAGCCATTTTAGTTTACTAGAGGGTAGTCCGCAGTCCATTTTCATAGGAATTCCCTTTTGCCATGAACTGAAATTAATAGGCAAATGTTCATGATGATGACTGTTCCATGACTTGTAATTATATACCTTTTTTACCATGGCACATCTACTGTCAACCTCAAATCCATCAATCACCTTGCTGTTGAATGGGGGCGGTGCAATTAAAACAGCAGACTGTCTAACTGTTTTTGACTTCTTGCAGTAACATTCCCGTATTGACCAACCAGGATTTCGTACTGGTTGACCTTATGAGGAAAGATGTGAGAAGCACGAGGGTAGATTTGCCGATGACTTTTAAGACATATGGAATCCAAAGTTTCGAGGAAAAGGATCAATTGTTTCCCAACTGTGCTTATTATTTGCATATCTATAACATTTTTCCCGAATGCGTAGCAAGGGTCCCCGTTTCACTCTGGGGGTCTGGGGGTTGAGGGTGTGTTCGCTCGACGTTGCGTTTACGGTCGCAACCGTCCGCAACCGTTCGCAGCCGTTCGCAACCGTTCGCGTGAGGACCGTATGGCCGTCCGTGCTTATGGTAAGTTCTGCAGAAGTTGCCATTTTTGGAGGTTGCAAATGTCTCGTTGCTTCGTTTCGCGTGGCAGGCGTGGCACTTGGTGACATTCAGACGTGTTTTGTAACGTGTCGAAAGTCGTTTTGTGTGGCAAGCACAATACTTTTGCGACGTTTTCAGACGATGCGTTGCAGTTTTCGTGGTAGGCGCAGCACTTTGGACGTGTCCATCGCCATTTTGCGTGGCAGGCGCAGCACTTTAGACGTGTCGTGTTGCGTGCTGTTTGCGAATCGCATTGGCAGGGCTGCGTCAAGTGGCGACAAGGTGCAGATTCCGTGGCACGCGTGGCATTTTGTGAGATGTGTTGAAAATTAACGGAAGCCTCGCACAAAACATCGATTTTGAGGTAGCAAATTTGGAGGTTCCTAAGAAAACTCGTCGGAAAACGTCGATTTTGAGGCTACAAAGTGTCAAAATTGGAGGAAGCCTCGCACGAAATGCTCGTTTTTCTGCGCCCACATGTCTCGTCTCGAGTCTCTGGTTTTCCTGTGGCCTCGCCGTGCCTATGGGGGAAGCTGCACAAGCTTTCCTTTTCGATTTTTTTCAACTGTGAAAATTGGCCGAAGTCTCGCACGAAATGCTCGTTTTTCTGCGCCCACGTGTCTCGTCTCGAGTCTCTGGTTTTCCTGTGGCTTCGCCGTGTCTATGGGGGAAGCTGCAAAACCTCTCCTTTTTGGAGGTTTCCAAGCAGGTTGTAGTGTTGTTTTGCGTGGCAGGCGTGGCACTTTGTGACATTCCAACTTGTTTGATAACGTGTCCAAAGATGTCGGAAGTGTCAAAATTGGAGGAAGCCTCGCACGAAATGCTCGTTTTGATGCCTCCACGTGTCTCGTCTCGAGTCTCTGGTTTTCCTGTGGCCTCGCCGTGCCTATGGGGGAAGTTACAAAATCTCTCCTTTTCAAAGGTTTTCAAGCAAGTCGTCATTTCGTTTTGCGTGGCAGACGTGGCACTTTGTGACATTCCAACCTGTTTTATACCGTGTCGAAAGTTCTTTGTGTGGCTGGCGCAACAAAACAATACACTCCACACTTTACACTCTACACTTTACATTCCACACTCTACACTCTACATTTTACACTCCACACTCCACACTCCTCACTTTACATTTTACACTCCACACTCCACACTCCTCACTTTACATTCCACACTCCGCACTCTACACTCTACACTTTCCACTCCACACTCCACACTCTACACTTTACCCTCCACACTTCACACTCCACAATTTACACTTTAGACTCCTCACTCCACACTCTACACTTTACACTCCACGCTCCACACTTTACACTCCACACTCTACACTTTACACTCTACACTTTACACTCCACACTCCACACTCTACACTTCCCACTCCACACTCCCCACTCTACACTTTACACTCCACACTCCACACTCCACACTCCACAATTTACACTCCACACCAGGCGACAGTCAGGTTCAAAGTGCCAAGGTTCATTGGTGAACATGTCTCTCGCACGGTAAGAGCCTCATGTATTAAAGACCATTAGTAATCATTAGTGATGCTTTTGATCATGTTCCAAGCCCTGTTTTGCAGGTACTGGAAGCCCCTCCGCCACCAACCTTGGAGGACCTGCTCGCCAACCGCCTCCGATATCTGGATCGGAAGGCTGTGGCGGAGCGACGCCTCGGCGATGAGGCTGATGAACGAGATGTTTTTCTCGTAGCCCGGATGAATGGAGCAGTGCTCGCGGTAGATTTCATCCTGCGCAGTCTCGAACGCCTCGGCACGGCTAAGAAGTTGATCTTGGGCAAAAATTTGGCCATCTTAAGTAGCGGCGAGGCCGTCTACTTCCCCACGGGCCAGATGCCAAGCAAGGACCACAAATGTTTTGAACATATCAAAGACATGTCAAGATCACAGTGGTCAAACAGACATGCCATACATGAAACCTTGCTTGCAGGATGCGCGCTCTCGCCGCCTGGCCGGCTTGAAGCCGCAATTATCCTGCCAACATTTTGTGGCGCGGAAGAACTTGGGGGTAGCTTTTGCTGAGCGGCTGCAGGATCCGGATCACAGCTGCCTCCCATTTGCCTCTTGTGATGTTTGAACCTTACTTTTGCAAAACAATTTTCGAACCTGCCCTGCACCAGGACTACATTGATTTCTGGCTGCCGACCATCCGGAAGGTCAAGGGGCACAGTGAGCCAGACGATCGCTTTCAGGCCTCTTTGCGATGTTCGAGGCCTCCGAGTTCCGAAAGCTTATGGTCGACGTCGTTTGCAAGGCAGGACAGGGCTTAGGTCAAAAAAACGGTGTTGAACCTGAAACTTTCCCCCCTGACCTGCCAGGCCAACAGCACGGACGTACGAGCTCCTGCCGAAGCAGCCATGAAAGCGGCAGCCGGTGTACAGCAAGTGCCCGCGGCGGTTGTGGAAGCCCATTGCGCCCACAGCGCCTTTGTAGGTCAGAAGCACTACTGGGCCCACGGGAGCAAAAAGCTCCATGTAATTTATGATTCGGTGATTCCTGGTGCCTGGTGTCTAGGCCGCAATGAATCTGAAACTTATACCCTCCATCAAAATCATTTCGCAATGTGTTCTTCTTCTACCTTTGTTTTTGGAACAGGCCTCTGGCATCCTGTACTATATACGACCTCTGAACCTTTATGTTTTCAAACGTCTTCACATCTTACGCTCTTAAGCGTCGAATTTCAGACAAGTTGTGCATGTCAAAAAATCAATACTAAATGAAATAAATGAAGCGAAACAAATTAAAGCTAGGAAGCTCTTTACATTCCACACTCCACACTCTACACTTTCCACTCCGCACTCCACAGTCTACACTTTACACTCCACACTCCACACTCTACACTCCACACTCCAAACTCTACACTTTACACTCCACACTCCTCCACCACACCCTACTCTTTACACACTCCACACTCCTCACTCCACACTTTACACTCCACACTCCTCACTTTACACTCCACACTCCACACTCTACACTTTCCACTCCACACTCCACACTTTACACTTTACACTCAAAAATCCACAATTTGCACTTTAGACTCCTCTCTCTCCACACTCTACACTTTACACTTTGCACTTTGCACTTTACACTCCCCACTCCACACTCTACACTCCACACTCCGCAATTTACACTTTAGACTCCTCATTTTACACTCCACACTCTACACTTTACACTCCACACTCCACACTCTACACTTTACACTCTACACTCCACACTCCACACTCCACACTTCCTACTTTACACTCCACGCTCTACACTCCACACTCTACACTCTACACTTTACACTCCACACTTTACACTCTACACTCTACACTCCACACTTTACACTGTACACTCCTCACTCCACACTTTACACTCCTCACTCCACACTCCACACTCTACACTTTTTACTCCACACTGCAGACTGGCAACAGGGGAAATATGTACAAGACTGTTCAAATAAACTATTGCAGAAAACTGTTCTGCGTGACTGCATATCCGTGTGTTTCGACATCTGTACCATGAACATACGTGTGAGCATTCGGGTTCGTGGGCGGCATCTTGTTTTAAAATAGATGGGCCATAAAATGCCACAAAATGCCACAGATGCAGATATTGTTGCATTCCATGTGCTTACCGGGTTGCACTTCCACGCAGATTTGCGTTGACTTGCTAGTGCTTTTGTTCCCAGGAAACTCATCAAGATGGTAAAGATTTGCTAAGTTTATAACTGGACAGCCACCTGTTTGATGGCCTCAAAATCCCAAATTGCCGGATGAATCACACCAGAAATTGAATATATATATATAACTGAATATATATATATATATAGGTTTTCATGTTTTTATTATATATCATATATATATATGTGTGTGTGTGTTTGTTTCTTGAATTCCACAAATGAGTTTCAATCAACCAATATCATCCCAACTTTGGACAAATGGTTGTAAGATGTTAGCGAAAACAAACGGTGGACAAAGTGATTTTGGCATGATTTAACGATGCTTTGAGAAGTGAAAAAAAACATGGTCAACCAACGAATATCATCCAGAAGTTGAAAGTTGTTAGATGCAAGCGAAAGCACATCAAGATGAGGGGCCTATGTCAAACCCTAGATTTAGATGAATATCTCCTGGTGGATCGGGAGGTTCACCCAAAGACTGATTATGTGTGACAATATAATTTAATATAAGGTAAATGCACCTGGCAATCAAAATGGATAGGTGTCAACATCCGGGGCTGACGTTGGGTAGAGCCGAAACACCCACGGTTTCCTCAAGATTTTCATTTGGACCAATCCAATGATTCTTAGACAAGTAAGTGCATCTTGAAACATCCATACAGGTTTGTTTCAGAAAGGGCGTCCAAAAAAAACTTGTTACAACTTAATGTGTCATATTAAAAATGTTTTTTTGGTAGACTCAAGTTTAAGACAAGCACCCCTGCAAACATACATAAAAACAAACATCCCAAACATGTTGTTTCTCAAACATCTCTGCATTTGTCCAGGATGTCATCATCCATTTTCACCTCAAACATCTATAGCATTCACAACTCATTGAGGTTGCAGGAAAATCTATACTTGGGTTTGAAATCATGGTTTCCCCTTCACTCTATCCCAACAAAACCAAGTGTTTCTTGTTTCTTGGTCAGATCACCCTGTGGGAATATGCAAGTAGCCAATTAAAGATGGATTGGAAATATCACCATGGTTTCCCCATGAGCCTTTCGAGGCGACCGGCCCGTTCAAGCGTTCAAACGCCGGGCTGCGGCCACTTGGACCCTCAAACCATCTGCGCGTCGCCGTGTCTTCACGAAGTTCCTGCATCGAGAAACCACAGTCCGCCTCATCGATGCTTTATTTTCTACAAGCTGGCGCCATGCCACAGGCAGTTTTGGCCCATACCCAGCAATGATTCATGCGTTAACACTTGGGCAACGCGGCCATGTCAAGGCCATAGCAACGTGCAAAAGATCAGCTGCTCTACCAGATTTCAAGCTCCGCGAAGAATCGCGAATTTGTTCATTCTGGCTCATGCATATTTTGCCGCTAAATCTCATGTTGTGTTCGTTAAGCATATAGTGAACTGCTTGATTCTTTCCTTTATTCAATGCCAGATAGGCTCACAGGCATTGGTTAACGCATCATGTTTTTTGTGGCTGCCTCCAACAGGTGGGCGTACCCCATTGATGTCACATTGGATTAGCACATCCTGACCATGAGTTAGGGGAGTTGCCCACCCAAAATGATAGAAGATGGTTTTGACTTATGTCACTACACTACCGTTCTGAATGAAAAGCTCCATAATCTTTGATTTTAGTGACCCCTGAAAAAGTTAAAAAAAGTAAAACCCTATCTTTTTGTTTCTATCTCTTTGGGTGTTGCTAAAATATTAAATCCAGTTCTTCTTTGCGAACGGTATCAGCTTAACGCGCTTCTTCAGGTCATATGGCGAAGGTGGTGAAGGCCAAAGGCCTATTCTATACCGAGACGGTACGTCTTCCAGAGACCCGGTGCAGTGATGACGGAGTTCCATTACTGAGACGGTAGAACTCAGATATTTTCTGGCGCTTTTTTAAAATTTCAAAGGTTAGTTTAATTGGTTGGTTTCGCTTTATAACTTGATTTATTTAAACATATGTCCGTTTTAGTTATTCATTCCTTTGTCTCACGCAAAGTTTCGGAAACATCATGGAACACAGTTTGTATGCAATCAATGTTGTATCATTGACTTCTTGGAGAAGGAAAAACGCAAATCTTTGAACAGGCGTTGTTGGTGTTAACTTGCTCGTTCTTCACCCATTCCTAATAGAATATGTACCGCATGTGATTTGTGATTTGAATATGCATTTACCTGCATGTTGTTCAACGCATGAAGGCATACAGTTGGCTTACCTATTTGACGAAAATGTATCCGCTGTTTTCCTTTCCCTTTATTTCTAGTTTTCTGGTATGCATGTTTTGGGTTTAGGAGCAATGCAACCCACATAGTTCTATGTTTTTTTGGTGTTTTTGTTTTTTCTGATTTGTGACTGTTGGTTTGAAACCTAAAATTACCCAAGTTGTATCTACGGCAACCGTCGTGTTTTGAATATGGAGAAATGAAATATATATTTGATCATGGCAGATTTCCTCTTGATTTCTGAACATTCCAAATTTCCAAAGTTCTAACGTTGAAAAGATGTGATATTTTGTGCCTTTTTAGAGTGCAGATAATTATGCATTGAATCCGTGCGAATGCACAAATAGAACCATTTTTGCTCAACCTTTGATGTTCAATTCTATTTTGTTTCATTTTTTTGGGGTACAAATTCGAACACAAGAATGAAAAAAACGGGATTGCAAATTCGGGTTCTTAATTGCCTGGAACTTTGAAACTCCTCCGTTCCTTCAAGTTGGGTTCTGTTTTGAAGTCATTTAGGTTGAAATCGAAATTAAATTCTGATTTTCTGACATGTCTGACTTTTCTGAATACGGACATTGCATGACATTGCTATTACAAGAATGTTTGCATTCATGTCAGTTTTTGGAATCAGACTACCTGATCAGGTTTTGTGGATTTCCTGTTTGGCTCATTCAACCGATTTTGGGAAAAATAGCTAATTAGGGCCAATTAGGGTTGAATATTATTTTTCTTTCCAAGTTGGCAATCTTAATCCAACATATTTCTGGGAAGTTTGATTCATTAGCAAATAGTGGCGTTCATATGTTCATTGTTTTTGAGAAGCTCCCTTATCTTTTTCAGATTTGGTTGAAGGGAATTTTGTAGCCGCAGGGTTTCTGGTTCATTTTTTTCTGGAAAACAAATGCATTGAACCGCAGCAGACCCAAGGAGACTGATATCACGTTGTACTTCAAGATCCAATTGCATGACTTGGCGGAGGTCTGGCCATGAGTGGTGGGTGATGTGAAGCACCATGATTAGAGTGGATTTAACCGGCACGAGATTACAAGAAATGATGATTTCATCATATCATGATTTACTTGGCTATTGTATATCATTCAAACTATCATTGATTTCGGGGTTGAGGGAAAAGATTGGCTACAGTAAGCGGTGAATTGGGGATGGCATATTATGGGTGAAAAAACATTATTTGGGGCGGGTACTATGCTGATTGCGTATGGGCCAATGGGATAGTTACGCATTCATGCATAGTTTGACCTGATGATGGATTTGACAAGCAGATATTTCAACCAACATCTGTTTTTGCACTTTCCATCCTGGGACTTTGATTCGCTTTGTAATCAAATGGAGGTTTGCGGCTTCGATATCTTCGATATGAAATTTGTTTTTCCAGCTGGGTGAACCCCACGGGAAGGCAGAAAACCCAAAAAATTAGGATCTTTCCCGTAGCTAGATGGTAATATTCTCCATCAAACATTCTGACTGGGGGCAAATTGTGATATATATCCAAGGACTTTGCTATGCTGAGTCACTTATGGCTGGGATCTGGTGTTCCTTATATTGACTGATACTGCAACTTGTTTTCAGATCACTGTACAAATATGTATCATCCCTTTTTTCCCCACATCTTTGTGTGGGGTTCTTGTTTTTGGTTGTGCACTCCCGGCTGCCTCTCGCTTGCCCCGCCGCCGCAACTTGTCCACACACAACTTGCTCCCCCCACAGCTTGCTCACACACAACTTACTCACACACAACTTGTCACCACACAACTTACTCACACACAACTTACTCACACACAACTTGTCCACACACAACTTACTCCCACACAACTTACTCACACACAACTTGCCCACACACAACTTGTCCACACACAACTTGTCACCACACAACTTGCTCACACACAACTTACTCACACACAACTTGTCCACACACAAACTTGTCCACACACAACTTACTCCCACACAACTTCTCCACACACAACTTGTCACCACACAACTTGCTCACACACAACTTACTCACACACAACTTGTCCACACGCAACTTACTCCCACACAACTTCTCCACACACAACTTGTCCACACACAATACTCCCACACAACTTCTCCACACACAACTTGTCACCACACAACTTGCTGACACACAACTTGTCCACACACACACACACCTTGCGTGGCAGGCGTGGCACTTGGCGACATCGACCTTCACTTTGAGTGGCAGGTGTGGCACTTGGTGACATCGACCTTCACTTTGCGTGGCAGGCGTGGCACTTGGCGACATGGATCGTCACTTTGCGTGGCAGGCGTGGCACTTGGCGACATCGACCTTCACTTTGCGTGGCAGGCGTGGCACTTGGCGACATGGATCGTCACTTTGCGTGGCACTTATGGCACTGGGCTGGCTCTGGCGGCGCGCTTGGTTCCCAGTTGACGCCGTGGTCGCCGCGGCTGTTTGCGTGGCAGGCGTGGCACTTGGCGACATGGATCGTCACTTTGCGTGGCAGGCGTGGCACTTGGCGACATCGACGTGCATTCTGCGTGGCTGGCGTGGCACTTGGCCACATCCACACATCCACCTACGTTTTGCGTGGCAGGCGTGGCACTTGGCGACTTCCACGCCGCAAGTGAGCCCATCTCTCTAAAATACGACTTTGTCACACACAACTTCGTCACGCACAATCTTTCACATCTCTATCACATGCAACTCTATCGCACACAGCTTTGTCAAACACAACTCTTTCGCACACAACTTGTTCACACCCATCTCTCTCACACACAACTTTGTCACCCACAACTTTGTCACACACAATCTTTCGCACACATCTCTCTCACATCCAACTTCTCTCTGACACACATCTTTGTCGCACACAGCTTTGTCACACACACAACTTTGTCACACACAACTCTTTCACACACAACTTTGTCACACACAACTCTTTCACACACAACTTTATGCAACTTTGCCACCGGCAACCTTTCACACACAACTTTGTCACACGCAATCTTTCACACACAACTTTGTCACACACACAATCTTTCACACACAGCTTTGTCACAAACAACTTTGTCATACATAATCTTTCACACACACACACAACTTTGCCACAGACAATCTTTCACACACAACTCTTTCACTCACAACCTTTCACACACAACTCTTTCACACACAACTGTGTCACACACAACTCTTCACATACAACTCTTAAAATGATCGTCCTCCACCATCTCCTTTGTCCTTTCTTCTTTCTCCGTGCCACTTCAACCACTTTTTCTGATTATTGGATGAAGTTGACTTGTAGGGTTATCCGGTCCTTCAATTTGTCGGAAGAATGATCCTGGTTGAAACGGTTTTGTCCTTGAAGAGGAAGAAACTATCCTTCATATACGGCCACCAAAAGAGTTTTGAATCATCAGATAAGATTACAGGCACCCTTGGTTGGATTGGATGGGTCGTTTTACGGATGGGCTAGCTACCACAGAAGCTATTTGGAGGATGATCGTGATTTTTTCTGCTGGGATTCGGATTGAAGCTACCTGGGGCCCTGGGGTTGCTTAATCCAACACGTGAGGAATCAACAGCACATATTGACAGTATTATTTTTTTGCGACTCTTTCACCAAATCTCTATAGCAACTGCCGTCTCTAGTAGAATAATTAGTTATAGTCATAGTATGCTACAGTAGAATATGATATAATATGTGTTTTGCTCTTTTTGATGGCATGTCTTTGCTTTTCAGAATGTTTTTTTCCAGCAAATTCTGAATTTTCCATATGTTTTGCCGGCGCATGCTGCCAGCCATATGGTGCCATTGCTTCGGAGAACGCGAACTACTGCGACATGTGTTTCCAAATCCTTGGCGAAAATCAGCTATCATTGATGGATTTCAAGTACACAAGTTTGATTTAGCACGGAGAACAACATGAAAATGCAAAATCGCATTCTTGGGAAGCGTCAAAACCATTCAAAACCTCCAATTCCGGGATCTTGTCCTGCCATCCAGGTAGCTGTTGCAGGCAAGCCCGTTTCTTGGTCCAACTCCAGGGCGGGAACCGCAGGTTTTGGTGATCTTGTTGGTAACATCCACTTCGGACCAAATTTCTCAGTTGCCAAGATGTTTTACTTTGATTTACTCTGTATATTTTGTTGGGTTCCTGGCTTCATGTCCGTATGATTTTTTGTCCATTCCCGCATTGATGATCCCAATTGACGCTCATATTTTTGAGGGACAGCTATGAATCAACAGCCAGCCAGGTTTCATCCCTTCACCGGCAGTGATGTATGACCACCCAGTAACCCATTGTTTTTCGTCGATCTTCCACTGTTACTTTGGGTATGTTTGGGTGGATGTTCCTTGTTTTGCCGGGTTTGAGCTTTGAAGCCTGAGGAAAGACAGAAGACCTAGCGCACTGAGCCTTGACTCTTTACAAGCCGAAAATATGATATGAATCTTCCAAGTTAGCTTCCGGGAAACAAACATGTAGGGGAAATTTCCTATAAATGGATGCGTATGGCTGGGAAAACAATCTATAAATTTAGGTGATTTTCCATTGCCATGTTTGATTACCGGATGGTAAGCGAAATCTACGATATGGACAACCCCCCCAACAACTCCTAGGACATCGTTCCACGGTGAAGTGTCCACATCTA